GCATTAAATTATCTTTTCTAAGTAGTGTCAATATTCCTTTTGTCAACTAGACTGGCTATCTTTTATTTTTCATTTATAACACCATAAATCTTTGTCAAATGTTAAGTTATGTTCGTCAATTGTCAATTAAAGGCTTTTGCGTATACTTCTCAATAGTATAAATTTGTACTGTGTTGTTGTTGAGCTTAGGATTCTTCTACAGTAAGTGTCTGTGACTTGGCGATAAATTAAGATGCAAACAAACAGCATGCACTCTACTTGTTTTCAAAATAATATATATATATATATTTGAACTGGTTAAAAGTTTGTACAACAAATTCTTTACACTATAGAGATTATAGGCATGTCATGAACACTATATATATTTCTCATCTTCTTGTCAAATGTCCACTTAAGCCTATTCATTTGCTTTAGAATTTCAGTTAACAAGCCATACTACCTTTCTGTATTTCTATTGCACTAATATTCCATGTATAATTCACTTATGCTGTCTCATTGAGTTACCACAGGTGTATCCCGAACTTCCGATACTCGTCTGCTTTTTCGTATTTAGGCCTACTTCCAATAATCATCTGCTTTTTGTCAAAAGTCCACACAGGCAGGTTCAATTGCTTTAGAACACCCTTTGATGAGACAAATTATTCTCCGAAAATGTCAGAAAACTGTTAATCTCACTTTACCCATTTGGCTATTTACTCTTACGATGGTGAACTTTACGTTTTCTAACCTTTCCTTTGGCCGAGCTTCTTCTTCCCGTGACTTTACTTTCTCGTCTGCTCTGTCTGTTGTTCCTGCTCATCTCACACTATTTATATATTTATCACTTAATTGTCTGCTCGCCTTCTATAAATTTCTATATCCTTGACGTCAGTAAATTTCATGCAATGTTCTATAAACTTGGCATCGATGAGTTATAAACACAATATACGACTCTTACCAATTTACGTAACTAAACTTGTCATAACATTTACTTTAAAATAATTGCTTCTAACTCTCATTATGAACAAAACTAAACAATCATAAAATAATCACTAATATCTACACTAAACAGTCTTTTAGATCATGACAATCTTTAAAGTTGTTTAACACTTAAATCTGCTTGCTCCAATTTTAAATTACACTCCTTTCATCAAACCATTGCTAAGTGTTTGAATTTGATTACTAAAATTGCTGAATTACATAAATATTGGTATCACCATTAATTTTAAGATGTGGCAGTAAGTATGATAGAGAGAAAATAAACCAAGAAGTTAATATTAAAGATACAACATTTATTGTTTGTTTTTTATTTCCTTACTTGTTTAGATGTACTTGCAAGTGGTGCAAGAGATGGAAACATTAATATTTGGGACCAAAGATGTATTAGAAAAGGTTTGTAAATCAAATTCTTTGAATGTTTAAGTTATAATTTTATTCTTGATATTTCAGGGGTGGACAACTGGGATGTAAACACATTCTTTTATTGATTTCTGTTAATTTCAACTCTTGTGATTAGTTGACACATGAAAAAAGAATATTACCAGTAGTGATATTACACTGTAACTCTGAAACAAATACTTGCCTCAGCACATAGTTTAACTGTATTTCTCAGCTCTTCTGCATGTTCTGATATTTACATGGCAGAAACCTTGTGAAAACTCTCACATAATTTCTTGATGTCATCATGTAGCAAAAGCCCTCCACCAATAGGAGAGTGACACACATCCATGTTCACTAACTCCTATGTATTTGCACTTGTGAATCTTCATTTTTCTCAGCACTGTATTGATCAAGCATGTTTAAATTTCTCATCTGTGTTCAATTTAACAAGATTTTTGTTTTCTTTAGCTTTTGTTTCAAAAGCTTTAATTTTTTATCATAACTTCTCTAATGACAGTGTTTTATACTTACTCCTGAGAGTGAGATGTTCTTCACACTTAGGCCTTATTTCTGCTTTAGCTTTTGGAGACCCGTTAACTGTCTGGGTCATAACAGCCATTACTCAATGTGTTGTATTGTGGATTACCACATGCTTCATGGGCCTCCAATTCCAGTCTCATCAACTGAATGTCATTCTCCTCAATCAGGAATGATCTACAAGACTATGTCCTTCCCCTACTTTGCTTTGGTAGCACTCTACTATTCTTTAAATGACCTTAACCTTTCCATCTTTTACTGGATTTCATTCTGATGTATGTTCCTCTCCTTCTATTTTGCCCATGCTCTTTACTTTTGTTTGTTTCTCATTTTATAACCTATGATTCTTGTGTTCATATTTTTTTCTCTTCTATTAGGATTTTTTTGGTTTCCTTTCTCACAATAAATACCTCTTCTTCCCCTGTTTGTGGCCATTTTTTTTCAAGATTTCTTGATATTATAACCTTTCTTTTCCTGATTCCTTATAGAAGCCTATCTGACCACCTTGGTGATCAGAACCTTTACCTTCTGTTTTACTTTCTAGTTCCCTATTTTTGCATTTTTCTTTTTTGCTCTCTCTACCCTTCTGTATTCCCTTTCCTATCTCTATCTTGTATCTGTGGCACTTCGTTATGCTTCTGATATCTTCTGTGCATGTTCATTCCCTTCTCTGTTTGGCTTGTTCCATTTCTTTTACTCTTATCTCTCCATACTTTGTTCCTCTGCTGTTGGGACTTGGTGCATCAAGTTACATTTCTCTTTACTGTTTCTCTTCCCTTTTCTTGTGTATATATTATTCCTTTGGCTTCATTTCTTTGTCCTGATGTCTTCTTTGGTGTTTGTTTCCACCTGGTGACCTTGTCTGATAATATGACTTCTGTCCTCATTTTATTCCCAGATTTTTGCCCCTTGACCTTGCATTTTACTCATTTTTGTCTATATCAGTCTCCTTCTTACCCTTCCATTCCAGATTCTAGGCCATCCTCTTTTTCTTGTCTTATCTCTTCCAGTAGACTCACTAGTCTCACTTTTTGCCGACATTACTTTTTTTCTTTCTCCACCGTAATCTTTTTTTTTGCTCCTCCTTTCTTTACCTTTCTTCCCACTTCCCTTTCTTCAACCCCATCTATGTTTTTTTCACCCAGTCTGTGGTTGGCGGTGGTTAATGTGTCGGATACCTTCCTATATGTTTCTTGGCCCATCCTCTGTTTTTTCTGTCCCATTTGTCCTTTTTTGCATCTTTCCATTCCTTATTAATATTATTGTGTGACCATTTTATTTTCTTATGGTGAGGGCTATTTACATTAGCTTCATTTTGTTGTTAAGAGGAGCATGCAAGTTTATTTTGACCAAAAATATTGTTAGCAAGAATATTATCTAGTCTGACCTATCCTCATTTTAAAATGTGGGATCCTAGGTCAATAACATATCTTTATCAGCTTCTGCATTGTTTTCTATGATTTATAGTCAGAAATAGTGACTACTGTGATCAGCAAAAAGGTGTCTCACAACAAATTTTACAACATAAAAAAATGACACAAAAACTTCTGTGAGTTTCTAAAGCCAAACTAGATACTATTTAGTAAGTTTATACAAATTTTCATAAAATTTGGTTGTTTTCACTGTGAGAAGAAAAAATCAAGAAATATCAGAAAGATTTAAAGCTATAACATTGATTGTAGCCTTTTTATTTTTTTCAAACCTTATATCAAGTCTTTAATGCTATTAAAGATCTTTTTAAATTTTTTGTGTTGCTCTTATCTTTACTTTCCAGTTCCATAAAAACAACTACTCTACTAATGGCATCCTCTTCAGCCTTCTGAACAGATTATTTAAAAACTATCTTGGGTCAGTTAAATGATCTGTACATCCAGAAATTGTCTTGTGCAGCAATGCTTTGTTTTGTATATGGAATTCCACAAAATGAGCATTTGGTTTCTGTGAAATTTGGTCAGATCACACTAATTTTATGTATGTACTAAGATACTGTGTGTGTGTTAGTGTCTATATGTGTAATATGGTGACTGAATAATTGTATTACAGATTTACATCATATGCCTGAAAATACAATATGGAATGCTCATTGTGCTACTTTCCAGAGTACTGGAACTCCTCGACATAAGAAGAAAGAGTCCACTTCTGGACCAAGTACTGTAAGTTTTACAGTACATTTCTGATAATTGATTCTTATTGACTTGTTGTTAAGTTTCAAATTTTGGCATTCATTGTTTTGGGATATTTACTCTAGCATTTATCGAACAAGTAAATAAGCTTATATAGTTTTGAAACAGTTATTTGTGTGATAATACAGATTTATTTCAGTACAATGTTTCATCTCTAACAGGGAGATCATGTACAATGTTCAAAGTACAAATATGTTCAAATTACAAACACATCCGATCAAATAATTTTTGTTTATGATGATACTATCTCCATCTGGTTTTTAATGTAATTAACTTAATATAAATATAATGGTGCTCCTGAAATTATATTTGTTTGGTTTTAACTCTTTGATTCATAGTGCTTTTAAATATTTCTTTTTGTTTGGATTTCTCTCTTCATTCAATACTTCACCTTTTTTTTAATATTTATTTGTTGCTATTTTTTAAATTGTATAATCATTTACATTTGATTATTTTTGTTTATCATTGTTCTGGCATCTGGTTATTATTTTCCTACCTGTTTCTCCTACATAGTAATTTTTGCCAGCTAAATATTCTATTTTATATACTGTGCCATTGTCATATTTCTCATTATTATATAACTTCAGTAGAAAACTTTTACTACTGGTTCCCGATTAAGTTGCAGCTTTAGTTTTTATATTTAATTTAAATTTTTTGCTTTACTTATATCACAAGTCAGTTTTTCACTAACACCTACAACTGGTATTGATCCATAAATATATTTCTTTTCTTGCCCTTCTTGGATATTTTGGTCAGTTCTCTTGTTCTTGTCAATTTTTTCTTGATTGTGTCATTGATTATGTTCTGAGGGAACTCTTTTTATATTTTGAAACATTCTTTTACGTTTTGAATTTTATTTTACATGGTTTTATTAGTGCATAGTCTCTTTTAATGTTCCAATTATTATTATTCTGTATGCAGAAAACCAGTTTGTGTAAGTTCCATCATGAGTCTTCTTACAGAGAATTTTCACACTGAATGTTTCTTTTTTCCTTATATTCATGTTAAGAAAGTTTTAATAACCATTTTCTTTTTCAACTTTTGTTTTTTATATTGTTTGTTAATGTGTTTAACAAACCTCATCATTTCTTCTACTTCTCCTTTAAAGACACGTAGGATATCATCCACATATCTCCATCAGAAAAGTGGTGGAAACATAGCTGTTATTAATGGTCTTTTTTGCTATGCTGATGAGATAGTGTTCCTAATACTAGAAATAATTGACTCCCTATTCGTAAACATCCTCTCTGTACATGGAAGTTTTTCTTAACATAAAATAGTTAATTTCTAATTCCAGTAATTGCTTCATACCTTCTAAGTATATTTTTATATCTTCATTTCATTGCTGTCTATTCTGTTGCAATCACAATGGCTACTTGAGTGTACATTGTATTAGTATTGCTTGAAGCTACATTTACTGCTATTAGGGTTTTTTTTTTCAGTTTACTTGCTGCCTTGTAAGAGTTGTACATAAAATTTTTCTCATTTTTTACAAAATGTTTTAGGATCTAAGTTAATCATTTACATAATTCATGACTGAAGCTGTCATACATTGATAGGATTGGTTTCATTGAGAAAGGTTCCTTATGGATCTTTGGTGCTCCATACGCCTGTGGTATTGTCACATGTACCTTTCAAAGTAAATAAACATCAGTGTTGATAAAATGTTTGTCTTTTAATTGTTTTAAAAATGCATTTTGTTTTCTTTTCATGTTTAGTTAAGGTCTTGCTTAACTTTTTCAGATTTGGCAGTTTTCAATGACTTCTTTAAATTTTCTTTTGTTATCAATTTTTGATAGTTTCACAACAAAATTGACTTTATTAGCTTTTGTGATAATTATTTATTTCATTTGTTGCATTTCGTTTAAAACCAATTTCTTTTCTTTATCACTTTTTTCTTAGCAGAGATTCTGATTACATCAAATCCTTTTAAGAACTCATTTATTCATCCTGTTTGTGGTTTTTCAGGAAGATAACTCATTTTGGATCTGTTTATTTCATACAAATGTTGTGTAGTATCTTCTATTTAATTCTTTAATAGTTATTTTGTTTTTCATTATTTTGTTTGTTTGTTTGAGATTAATTTTATACTTATTTCTTTGAAGTCACTTTTAATACAGCTATATATCTACAAGTTTTCTGTTGGAAATGTGAATATCATATGTGGCTTTATAGGAGAAGAAGAAATGATGTGGTTTTTGAAACACATTAACGAACAAAATAAAGACATAAAACTCACAATAGGAAAAGAACAAAATGGTTGTGTAAGCTTTCTTAATATGATCATAAGGAAAAGAGAAACATTCAGTGTGAAAATTTTCCAAAAGAAGACTCATGATGGCACTTATGTAAACTGGTTTTCTGCAAACGATAAAAAAATACAAAATTGGAATCTTAAATGGATGCATGATAACAGCACTAAGATTATGTACCAATAACACTATGGAAAATGAAATTCAAAACACAATCAATGCCACAACCGAGAAAAAATGGACAGAAATAAGAACCACACACAATAACTGATGAAAACACTTGAGAAGAGGAATAAAATAAATGTATTTATGGATCAATACCATTTGTAGGTGTTACTAATGAGAAATTAATTAGCATAAGGTACAAATTAAGTATAAAAACTAAGAGTAACTAAACCAGGAATCAGCATTAAAAGTTTTATACCATAGTTATATACAAAATTCTTGTGGTCCTGGAAATTCTTAGTTTTTAAATTTTTGATTGTTAGGCAATGAGCTGACTCAAATATTTTAATGAAGTTAAAGATAAGTAAACAGTTTGAAAACATCAATTATCAATTGAATGGACTGTTTTGATGTGTGCATATCTGCACATTATTGTGTGACATGCTGTGTGGGTCCAAGAACATGATTACTATATTTTTAAGTGATCTGTTGATACTGTGACATAAGTGGGTAAGTAGCCTTTTTTTTTTCTAAGTACTTCGTTAAATGTTGCAAGTTTGGCTATAATATAATAAAAGTAATAATTCAAGAGGTTACAATTTTGAATGATATGTTATACTAGAGGGCTTCTAGACATGTATGTGTAGGCTAGATCTTAAATCATTCCTACAAGTCAGGCACTATCACAAGTAAAATTATAATCTAACATATCAGCGTTAGCACCTAGTCCTGAAGTGTTAAACTTTGCTCAGTTGTACTTGCAGAATTCAGATATAGATCAACAATAAATTGTATCTTTTTCATTAAATCTTTTACCTGTTACTGCTTGCATGTGCATATTGGCATTTATTAGCCAAGGTTTAATTTGTGCTAACATTACATCTTATTATATTTCTATACACTTATGCCAGTTATGGAAAGAAAGTGATAAATCTGCATGCAACTTTTGTTGAAGTAACATAATGTTACGTCTCCGAAGAAACTTTACCGATACGAGTCTATTCTTAAATAAAACTGGTTTATTCTTTCTGAATATAACTTTGTGATACACTTAATTTTAACAGTTGCGCTATAATTCTCAACGAACGTCTCACGTGCTCGACTTCAACAATACTCAGTTCAATTACACACTCTCTGACTGCAGTTCAATTACTCACACATTGTTCCATCATGTTGTGACCGTCTTATATATATACCA